CCGCTCTTGGCAAGGTCATCACCAACAGCCATGGGACAAAACCCAAGGGACGCTTTCCTATCCTTGGTTTATTCAGCCTCTCAGCTGCATTTGACACTGTTCTCCCTCCTTAAAACACAATCCTTTCTGGGTTCTATGACACAAGAGTCCTCACGCCTCACTGGCCACTGTGTCTCATCAGCTTTGCCAGCTCGTCTGTCTTTACCCTTCTCTCAGTGAGGGGGACCCTCAGGGCAGATGTGGTAGTTTTAAAATACGAAACAGTGCTTGTCTTTCTCTGTGGAATCTAAAAAATAATATAAACACATGTATATGCAAAACAGAAACAGAGTCACAGATACAGAAAATAAACTAGTGAATATTACTCAGCCACTAAAAAGAATGAAATAATGCTATTTGCAGCAACATGGATGGACCTGGAGATTATCATACTAAGTGAAGTGAGTCAGAGAGAGAAAGACAAATATCATATGATATCGCTTATATGCGGAATCTAAAAAAAAATGATACAAATGAACTTATTTACAAAACAGAAACAGACTCACAGACTTAGAGACGGGGGAAGGGTTGGGGGGAGGGATAGATTGGGTGTTTGGGATTGACATGTATACACTGCTATATTTAAAATAAAATGCCTTTCCATAAAAAGAGAGAGAGAGAGAGAGAGGAGAGAGAGGGAGAGAAAATAAACTAGTGGTTACCAAAGGGGAGAAGGAAGGGGGAGGGGCAAATTAGGGGTATGGGATTAAGAGATACAAACTACTATGTGTAACATAGATAAGCAACAAGGATACACTGTATAGCACAGGGAATTATGGCCATTATCTTGTAATGACTTTTGATGGAGTACAATCTGTAAAAATACTGAATTACTACGCTGTACGCTCGAAACTAATGTAACGTTGTAGGGAATTGCCTGGCAATCCAGTGGTTAGGACTCCACACTTTCACTGCCCAGGGCCCGGTTCGACCTCTGGTGGGGGAAATAAGATCCCGCAAGCCGTGCAGCGCAGCCATAAATAAATAAATATAAAGTTGTAAATCAACTATACTTCAATTAAAAAAAAAAGAAAAAAATACGCTCACAGATTACTTGATACTTATCTCTTTGGTGGAGCCCAATTTTTCTCCCCTTGAATATGGGCTGTATTTAATGCCTTGCTTCAAATGAATAGAATGTGGCAGAAGTGACAGAATGACTTTCAAGGGTAGATCATAAAAGATGTGGCTTCTGCTGCTTCTGTCTCTCTGGGATCACTTGCTCAGGGGAAAGCCAGCTGCCATGTTGTGAAGAAACTCAAGCAGCCCTAATAAGATGCCCATGTAGCGAGAAGCTGAGGTCTCCGGCCAACAGCAGTGGGGAACTGACACCTCTAGTGAAGACCCACGTGAATGAGCCATCGTGGACCCTTCAGCTCAGGGTGTTGCAGCCCCAGCCAAAGGCTTGACTTAGAGATGGGGGAAGGGTTGGGGGGAGGGATAGATGCATCATGCAACTATCCCTGCATCATGCAACCCTGAATTAGAAACACTCAGCCAAGCTGCTCCGGAATTTCTGCTTCACAGAAAATGTGTGATATGACAAATGCTTTTTTTTCCCTTTTTTTTTTTTTTTTTTTAAAATATGGCCCTCAGCTCAAATCTAGCCTGCTGCCTGTTTTTATTTATTTATTTATTTATTATTTAGTTTTGCCTGTGTTGGGTCTTCGTTGCTGCACACGGGCTTTCTCTAGTTGCGGCGAGTGGGGGCTACTCTTCGTTGCAGTGCACGGGCTTCTCATTGCGGTGGCTTCTCTTGTTGCGGAGCACGGGCTCCAGGCGCACGGGCTTCAGTAGTTGTGGCACGCGGGCTCAGTAGTTGTGGCTCGCAGGCTCTAGAGCGCAGGCTCAGTAGTCGTGGCGCACGGGCTTAGTTGCTCCGCGGCATGTGGGATCTTCCCGGAGCAGGGCTCGAACCCATGTCCCCTGCATTGGCAGGTGGATTCTTAACCACTGCGCCACCAGGGAAGCCCGACAAATGCTTTTGTTTTGTTTGTTTAAGCCGCTGAGTTTGGGAGCAGTTTGTTATAAGCAATAAATAACTAATAAGCAGGTCTTGATTCCTCTTTCTGTCTCTCTCCACTGCCCTCTAGGTGACATCATCCAATTCTATGGCTTTAATCACCGTGTATATGCTGAAGACTTGCAAATCTCCATCTCCAAATTCTGACCTCTCCTTTGAAAGTCAGACTAGAATACCTAATGGCTTATGTGACATCCCCTCTTGGGGATGACACTTACATGCGGAATCTAAAAAAAAACCTGAACTCTTGGGTCCCCCTTGCCCATATCAGGAAATGGTACCACTCAGTAGCTCAGACCAAAACCTCATGAGTCATCTTTGATTCCTTTATCCCCTCTTACTCCACTCCCTCCAATACCCTCGACCTTTCAGCAAGTTCCTGCCCACTTTATCTCCAAAATACCTCTCAAGCCTTTCATGCCTCCCCATCTCCACTGCCACCACCTCAGTCCAAGCCACCACCATCTCATCTGGGCTTCTGTCTCCCTTGAAATCCATTTTCACAGCAACCAGAGTACTTTTAAAAGTAAAATCAGAACACCTCACCCCTGAGTAGATTGCAAAAATGGCCACAGATTCCTCCCATTCCTGCACGCTTGCCCCTTTGCAAAGGCTTTACTGCTTCTGCCATCAAGAGGCAGAGTCCAACCCTCTACCCTTTTAATCCTGGCTCTGCCATGTCACCTGCTTTAGCCAATGGGGCTTTCGTAAATGTGGCACAAGTAGAGGCTTAAAACATATTTGCACCTTGGGGCTTTGCTCTCTTGCTGCTCTCAGTATCCCTGTGACCACCATCATCTGAAGAGCCTGGCTTAGCCTGCTGGATGATGGGCAACATGTGGTCCAGCTACCTCCATTGGCCCCTGAACACTCTTCTGTAATGGCCCCTCTCCAGCACCCTCTCTGATAGAAATGAGAAAGTTCCTTCTTGAGGTATGTATTGTTTTTACTCATTTAGCCATACTCTGCTTTTTTCTAGAAAGGATTTATGGCAGCTGGCTTCAGCATGCATGACAGTGTTCTTGTTTAGGACCTTAGGTATCTGTGTGTGCCATTTGCTTGAGGCCATCCTGTTTCGCAGATGTTGAAACTGAGGCTCCAGTAAGGAAAGGAACTTGCCCAAGTCACACGGTATAGGCAGCAAAGCTAGGACCCTAACTCATATCTGTCTCACTCTAAACCCATCTTTTAGAACACTGTGCTCCACAACCTTCCCACATACACAGACATCTGTGTGTGTGTGTGAAGCTATGAGTGTAGCAGTGCATGTTGAATGGGTTCCACAAATTTGCATTGTTGAGGAGACCAGACTAACAGGGTACCTAAAATAGAGCCAAATGGGAAGGTCCAGAGTGAAATTTGAAGAAGGGTGGGTGGCAAGGATGGTGTATAGATGCAAAAGGGGGCAGAGTGGTGAGGAGAGGGCGCTCCAGCCTGGAAGAACTGCGGGAGCTAAGGTGTGGAGGTGGAAATGTAGCTGGCATGCTCAGGGTCCAGAGAAGAGAGGCACTTGAGAACAGAAAGAGTCAAGGTCAGAGAGTCCGGGTGAGCCTAGATGTCTGGCTCCTACAGCATGAAGGAGCCATAATACATCCTTCAGTCGGGGAAAGGGGAGATGGTGTAGTGGATAGTGATCACCACCACCATTACCATCATCATCTTCAATAACCTTTATTAAATACTGTGTGCTAAGCGCTGATCTAAGCATTCTACATAGATTATTTCATGCAGTGTCTCAACCTCTCTCTGAGGTCGGTCTTATTATTATCCCCATTTTATGGATGGGGACCTGAGGTCTAGGGAGATGAAGCACCTGGCCCAGGGTCATTCAACTAGCAAGTGGCCAAGCTAGGACTTAAACTTAGGTCTTTCTGACTCCATGGCCCATGATCCTAACCACCTGGATGGTCCTCTAAGATCTTTGGGGGGAAAGATGCTGGGACTGTCATGGACAGGGTGGGCTGGATGGGCTCCAGCACTCACCTACCCCAGAACTGGCACCCACCCTCGTTCTCAAGCTTCCTCTTCTCCAGCTCAGCCTCGATCTGGTCCAGCACCATGGCCAGCTCCCCCAGCATCTTCTTCAGGTAGCTCACATCGTCGTGCTCCAGGATCTTGGCCTGGGGGCAGGACAGGCAGGTGCTAGAGGAGCGGAGTTGGCCTCAATAGAGCAAGGATGACCAGGGATGGAAGACTCTTGGCCCAAATCCCCTTCTGCAAACCCAGGCTCCTTATATCCCCTTAAGTGTATAGGATACCCCCACTGTTACAAAGCATCCTCATCTGGTGTTCACGATAGTCCTGTGAGCTTGACTGTCCTGGCCAGATCCCTTTCATGGGGCTGGTACTCTCATACACCAGCTGCTGTGAGAGTTGGTTGACAGTGGCTCACCGCTTCCCCTTCTTCAGAGAATTGTTCTCAGCCAATGAGGAGTTTCCTGGAAATACTTGGGAAATAAATGGCTCAACGATTGGCTGATAGAAGGGTATAAAAGTCTGTCCCTTTGTCTCAAGGTGGATCGACTTTGTGGCACCATTTATCCTCCAGAGCTCCCTGTGGGATCAGGTGAACTTAGCCCCTTCTTCATCCTGTCTCATCCTTACTGGGTTCTCCTTAGAGCGCTCCCTCAATACCTCGCTTACCCCAGAACCTCTGTCCAATGCTCTGCTCTTAGGGACACAACCTAAGACATTAGGAAAGTGAGGCTCCAGGGAGACAGTGACTTGCTCAAGGTCAAAGGGCCAGTAAATGACAGAGGAGACAGGATTGGGAAAGCAAGCCAGTGGTTTTCCCATTTCATGTCATCAGCTGACTCTCTACTTAGAACCAGCTTCTTTCAGTTCTTTTCCATGGAAAAGATGGTGGGAAAAGGGGAATGAGCAGGCCTGGGGTCACTCACCATGAGCTTCTTCTGTTTAGAAAGGTAGGGCTCAGAGAGCTGGGGCTCCTCCTCATGGTCCAATTTCATGAAGTCCATGGTGGCGTTGGCTAAATGTCCTGGGGAGAGAATAGGAAAAGTCCCGTTCTTCTGATACCTGGTGCTCTTCCTTTCCCTTCCCCCCAACAACTTGGAATAGGTCCCATTCAAACACTAGTCCAGGAAGTAACAATATCAACAGGCATAACTAGGAGACACTATGTCATCACAGGCTGGGACATAGGGATGGGTGAGATGCCATCCTGCCCTAGACCGTAAAAGAGATACCCACGACATAGCGTGATCAGTCTCTAATGAAGAGTGAACAGAATGCTGTGGGACCCAGAGGGCCACCTGCCTGGGGCACAAGGTGTCAAGAAACCTCACTGAGGAGGAGACTCTAGGGGATGAGTAGGAGTTTGCCGGAAATGAATATCACCCTAAATGTGGACAAGCTCATGCTTCAGTGAACGTCTCCCTCACCCCTTTCTGTAGTGAAGAAACGGATTCAGAGAGGCTAGTAAATTCCACACTAGTAAACGAAAGCAGATTTTGAATCAGGATCTGTCCGATTCTCAGTCTAGCGCTCACTCACTGTAATCCACAGGGAAAAACTTGTTTTAAAAAAACTATAAGAGAGCTTGGTGTCTTGAAACTTCCACTTCTGGTGAGGCAACTTCCCTGAAGATTCAGGGACATATTGACCACCTTTCCTGGGAAATTGGCCTTTTAAAGATGCTGAAAAGGCCTGGGTGATGGAATATGGGTCAATGATGGAACTCAAGGCAGCACCTTGAGGATTATACTTAATGGAAGAGACAAAGTGTCCTATAATCTGACATTAAAAGTCTAGCTGTAAGCTGTGGGTTTTACAAGGGGAGGTGGAAGCATTAAGTGGGATAAGATCCTGAGGTCTGTTCCATGACTGGGGCAGGATTTCTCTGGAACTCCTAGCCAGTAAGTATGGGACATGGTGGGCCAGGTGTGTGGTGGGGCCCAAACCTGGCCTGCCCTCTCCCCTGGGTCCCAGCCCCACTTGGACATCTCTTGGACTGGGATGGGCATCTTCTCTGGCCCTACTGCCTCTATGTTCCCCTTATCATAACACTGATTGGTACTAGGTTAGAAAAATTTTAATCCATGTGGGTTGTTTGTTTGTTTGTTTTTTTGCCACACTGCGTGGCACGCGGAATCTAAGTTCTCTGACCAGGGATCAAACCCATGCCCCCTGCAATGGAAGCACGGTGTCTTAACGACTGGACCGCCAGGGAAGTCCCAAAATCAATGAGTTTTGAATAGATTATACATGCCTGCTTGTTTAAAAATTCAAACAATATTAAGGAACGTACAGTGAAAAGTAAATCTCTCTCCTCTCAATCTGCAGTCCCTTAGTTCTGCTCTCCCAATCTTCTCATGCGTCCTTCCAGAAATACTCCTTGTGTTTGCAAGCACCTGTGTATCCATTCGACCCCCTTTTACATATACTAATGATAGTACACTAGATGCATTATTTTGCCCTTCACTTTCTCCCTACTTACTAATATATCTTAGAGAGCATTCCACATGCCTGTTATTTTTTTTCACAGCTGCACAGTATTTCATTGTTTGTATGTACTAGAATGTATCTACCCAGTCCCCAAATCATGGTCAACTGGGTTATTTCCAGCCTCTTGCTATTACCCCTTACGCTGCAATGCATATCCTTGTACATACTTCTTTGGCGCACACATCCAAGTGTCAATGCAGGACAGTCTCCAAAGTGTGGGCCTTTTAATATCCGATATAGAGGGCCAGACTGCCCTCCTGAGAGGTTGTTCAAATTTACTTAGTCCTGCATTGTAATTATCTGGTCATTTGTCTTTCTGCTTCCATGAAACTGTGACCCTGGGAGGGTAGAAGCTGTGACAGTCCCCTTCTGTCCCCAGCCCCCTGCCCAGGGCCTGGGTCATAGGAGACTTCATAAATGTTGTCAAATGTTGTTGACTCAATGGGGACAGGACAATATAAATATGTCCTGAGTCCTGTTCAAGGGCACTCTAAAGAGAAAATCGAGTGCCACAACCTGGCCCACCTTTGGACATGAGCCTCATTCCTTTGAGAGAGAGGAAGTGACCATTTACCGAGCACCTATTATCTACTTGGAATCATCATGCTTCATCTGTGTATTGGACCCCATGGTGTCTGCATAGAGCCTGGACCAAAGTCTGTAAACAGTTGTTGATGGATGATCTGATTTAATCCAACACTTATTTACTGAGTACTGAAAAAAATGAAAGGATAAAGTAGGCTGTGGGCACAATCAGGCTGGCAGTTAGGACAGTATATGGGGATGCTTGAATCAGAACTCAGAGACCCGGGCCCTTGCAATATCTGGGCAGTCTTCCTTGGTGATGCCAGCCCTGATGTCACTCAGTGCCCTGGGCTGCCAACCCCAGGTGTCTGGGGCTGAGATGCCCGTGGCAAGTTGTCCCAGCTCCCATGGACAGGCAAGCCTCTAGGGGGACAGATAGCCCTATGGCCTCTGTATGGGATGGCAGGACAAGAGGAGGGGGCAGGAGAAGGGAATGAGAGAGAGAGACTGCCAGAGAGGGGGAGACACATATTCAGCTCGTAACAGGGTGAGTGAGATGGAGAGCCACAGAGAGAGAGAGAGAGCGAGCCAGAGTGAGAGACAGAGACAGACACAGGGATGGAGAGAGAGGCAGAGGCAGAGGGATATCCATGGGGAAGAGGAGAGAAGGCGGAAGAGGAGAGATAAAGGGAAGAAAGTGAGTAAGAGATACAGGAATGGGAGGAAGAGGGAGGAGGTGGGCAAAGACCGGGTTACCCTGAGGGTTCTGCGTCCCGACCCCGACCCCGGGACTCACTGCGGATCTCGGCCGTGGCGTACTTGGGGATCATGGAGTCGGCGGTGAGTTCGGGGTGCAGGATGCAGCCGTGCGTGTAGGCGTCCATGGGCAGCGCGTCCAGCAGCTCGCGGTACTGCAGCACCCGCGCGTGCTGGGGGCTGCCCGCCTCGGGCATCAGCGCCACCACGTGCTCTGCGGGGCACGGCCGGGGGCTGGGCGGCGGCACGCAGGGCCCTGTGTCGGGCCTCCCGCCCCCCTGATTCAGAGAGGCCAGCCTCTGGCACCCCATCCCCCAACCTCAGCATCCCGGAACCGCGACATGTCCAGAAGTTTGGGGCCCATCCCCTTTCCTTGACTCTTGAGAGGAAGTCCCCACCAGGCTGACAGGGGACCCTAGGGATCCTGCCCGCCTACCTCTCCTCACTGGAGCCCTGCCGAGCCGTCCCCTGAGGGGCAACTCCTCACCTGCCCGGGCTTGTTGCCAGGTGGGTCTCTAGGCCTAGTGTTGCCAGACTTGGAGAGAAGCTGGAAACCTGGATGTTTGAAATTGAACTCTCCTTGGTTTTTAAATGTTGGCAACTAATTCATATTCTTTTAAAACAGTGCATGTCCGGGCCCTGACCTTTCAGCTGCATCTGCAGCCTCTGCCAGGGGCACTGAGCTTCCGGACTTGAGCGAGGCCAGAGGGAGGGACGGAGGACATAGGGTTCTGTGGGGCCCTGCTCATGTCTGCAAAGTTCTCGGGTATCCGGGCCCATGTCTGTGGGGTTCCGGAAGAGCCTGTGGCCCTGACTATGCATACAGGGTTTCAGGGGGCTGGGTCCTGGTCGAGCCCTGGCATCCCCGGGAGATCTGGATCCTGTCTGTGGGGACTTAGAAGGGGGTCTGGGTCCCATTCATGCCTGATGGGCTCCAGAGTGTCTGTGGCCGAGCCTGTGACTCCAGAGTCCCCGGGCAAGGCGGCTATAGCCCTAGCCGCTCCAAGGGGGGTGTCTGGGCCATGCCCTTTCCCTCAGTACCGGGGACGGGGGGTCAGATCTGTGGGGTCCCCAGGGACCTGTGGCCATGCTCTGCGGCTCCTGGGGGGCATCTGAGCCCTGCCTGTAGCCCGTGGTTCCTTGTGGGGGAGCCCGGGCCCGCGGGGTTTGCCCAGGCTTCCCAAGGTTCTGGGGCGCTGTCAGGGCCCGCGCGGCCGCCGTACCTCCCGTGAACGTGCGCTCCACGTAGTCGATGATCTGGTCGTAGTCGCTGATGATGTTGTCGCGATGGATGATGACGGGCACCTCCTCGCCCAGGTTGAGCCGCATGAACCAGGGCTCCTTGTGCTCGCTCTGCGGCAGGCTCACGTCCCGCTCCTCACATGCCAGGCCCTTCTCAGCGATCACCAGCCGCACCTGCAGGCGCCAGGGTCAGAGCGGGAAAGGCGGGCGGACGCACGGGGACACTCTGCCCAGGTGGGGCGGGGCATGCGGGGAGGGAGGTCAGAGGTCCCACACTGGAGGGGACCGTGTTGCTTCCAGCCCACTCCTGGGCCCCTGGGGTACGGGATGGGGGATACATCCCCGGGGTCTGGTGGTGGGAGGAACACAGCTCTGCCCTGGGGACAAGGGGCAGAGCTGCCTGGTGGTTACAGGGCTGGGTGTCACTGCTGGACGTACCTGGGATAGGATTTCTGGCTCTTCTGTGTGAGTTTGGGCGGATTCGTTACACTTTCTGGGCTTCATGGTTTTTTTATTTGCAGAATTGAAGTATTAATAGTAGTACCAACAGTGTCTGGTATATAGATAGTGCTTAATTCATAATTCTCATTATCAGGATTGGACTCTCAGCCTGGCCTCCAAACGTGAATCTGGCCATGAAATTTGCAGAAATTCTTATCATCACCATGATCAGTAGCAAAATTTCTCAAATTATTTGAGAAACAAAGTGAAGTGAAAAATAATTTGCCAACATCAGCCTAGAGCCCTTTACTGTCCCCAGACACCTTCCGATCTGGTTGTTGGATGCTCACAATAGCCTTCCAGAGGAGGGCAGAGCAGAGACTATCTCCCATTTTTGCTGATGAGAAAACGATAGTCCAGAGAGGGCAACTAACTGACCCAGAGGCACACAGCCAATTTAGCAGTAGATCTAAAACTAGAAGCAATGGTTCCTGACTCTCAGACCAGTGTTCTCTGCCCTGGGGGCTCCTTCCAGGGAGTCCTGGGCCTGGTCCCTCCTGAGTCTTTCCCTAGTCTCCAGGGGGTCCCAGACAAACATATGACCTGGTAGATGCTAACGGAGAGCCTCCTGACCCAGCCCAACAGTTCTGAGCTGGCAGATGGTTAATGATCACCTAGCCCAACTATCCCCTGCCTGTGGACTGAGACTCAGAAAGTAGGCTAGACTTGTCTAAGGTCCCCCAGCAAAAGGATGGCAAGCTCCACTCCTACATGCTCCTCCCTACTTCTAGCTCCAGCCCAGGAGAAAGAGAGGGCACCCCTGAGAGAAGCAAAGGTCTATTCCTGTTAAGCATCGATGACCCCTATACATACCTAGGTGGCAGTTCCCATTCCCTTCCTGCCTGCCCTGGCATCCTCCTGGCAGGTTCTGCCCAGCCACCCAGCGTCTGGGTCAAGCTGGGATCTCTGAACGGACGGAAACAGAAACTAAATCAGGCCTTTGCCCTTGGCGGGTCCAGACGTTAGGCCTTCCATCCTGGCACGGCATCTGCTCCCAGGGACCACTCCCTGGGCACTGCCCTTGAACTCCAGTGAGGGTGCCTGGTGGGGCTCCTGCCTGGGGAGGGGACTGTCTTTAGAGGAACAACAGTCCTGCTTGGAGCTGCCTCAGGATCACACCAGCAAGCAGCCAAGGAGACTTTCTCCTTTAGCTGAGCTGCAGGCCAGAGCCATGTGCCATCCTGCAGGGGAGGGGGCGGGGGAGGAAGCCAGGCCCAGGGGGAGGGCATGCAGCCACCAAAGCCATCTGCCTTCTTTGCCTCCTGGAACTGCGCCAGACTTAGGTGGTCACCACTCAGTGTGACCAGACATCAGCCAACTCTGGGCAAACTATCCCCCCTGTGGGTGCCTGAAAGTCACCCACTGGTGCTTCATTGTCATGGCTAGGTACTGTCCCCCCTCACCCGGGCCCTTGTTTATGAGAAAACTGTGATGGGCTGGGTTGGCATCTCTGCCCAGCCACTTAGTTGCAGTGTGACTTTGTAAAAGACACTTAGAGTCTCTGAGTCTTAGTTTATTTATCTCAAATACTTTAAAAAAATTAATAAGCTTTATTTCTTACACCAGTTTTAGGCTTACAGAATCAAATGCCTTTTTTATGTAACATCTTATGGCTTACAAATGCGCCACTTTTCAACACTTATTTATTGAGTGCCTACTCTGTGCCAGGTCTTGTTCTAAGTGCTCAAGACTCAGCAGTGAACAAAACAAAGATCCCTGCCCTCAGGGAGCTTACATTCTGGTGGAGGCAGACAGATGAGAAGCAGTTAAAATGAGATGGTGTGTCAAAAGATAGTGAGTTTATCGGAAAAAAGAAAATATAGAGCAAGGTAAGGGAAATTGGGGGTGCCAGGGCATCAGGGAGGCAAGTGGCAATTTTAAATAGGGTGACCCATCAGGGCAGGCCTCTCTGAGAAGGTGACATTTGAGCAAAGAACAAAGAGAGAGTAGTCCACACAGGGATCCAGGCAGAGGGGACAGCCAGTGCAAAGGCCCTGAGGTGGAAGCATGTCTGACATGTTTGAAAAATGGTGAGGTGGCCATCCTGCTGGAGCAGGATGGATGGAGGTGACAAAAGGAGAGGAGGTCAGAAAGGGTCATGCACAGGGACATTTAATTGAGACTCCTAGACCCAGGGGTCTATGAATAAATTCAGGGAATCCTCAAACTAGGATGGGAAAATTACAGGTTTATTTTCAGTCATGTCAAGCTGACACTTAGCATTCTCTTCAATTATGAGTGTAGGCAACAAAGCATGGTGGTGTTAGCAGTGCCTGTAATATTGTCACCACTAGGAATCAGATATTTTCATCACTTCACAGTTGCTGCAATTACATCCGTCACGACTTCAACATTACAGTAGTTATCAGTCCTGCCACTAGATCATGTGATACTATGGGTTAATGCAGAAACACATATTATTATGTAACAAATTTGTTTTGAAAATATGTCAATAGCTTTACTTCAGTATGATTGGTTTTCCTTCTAATCTAATATTCCTATGTATTTGATGTTATTCAATTAAAAGTACTATTCTGAGAAAAGTCCATAGGCTTCCCCCGATTGATGAGTGGGTCCATGACCCAGGCAAGGTTAGATACTGCAGTAGGGCCTGAGGCCATTATGAGGACTCCGGCTTTTTCCTGGAAGGACTTGTGAGCCACTATAGGCTTCTGAGTAGAGGAGTAGTGAGATGTGCAGTTCTCGCCTGTGGACCTCCTGGGAGTGGGAGAGGGGGTGGTAAATGGTCAAGGGCAGCATGGACAGGGCTGGGGCGCCAGTGCCCAAGAGCTTGAAAAGTAAGGTCAGGGTGGCAGGTAGAGGTCATTTACTTCCCTTCTGCCATGTCTGGGATGGCCCTCTGCATGCAGGCAAGGCCCTTTAGGACTGATGCGAAAGAAGGAAATGCACCTGCTAAGCCCATACTGTGTGCCAGACACTTAACACATGTCCCTGTCCTTTCAGTCCCCCAGGAATCCTACAGGGTCGGATGTAAACGTCCCCTTTTCCAGATGAGGATGTTGAGGCACAGAGGAGGTGAAGTGACTTGTCCAAGGTCACACAGCCAGTAAGCACTCAAGATGAGACTGGAACCAGGACCATCTGACTGCAGGGCCCATGTGTTTTCCATCAGGCTACACTGCCTCTAGAACCCACCACAGGCCCCTGGGCAAGGGGAAGGCCCTGGCAGGAGAGGCAGGAGAATGCTAGGCTGTCTTGGTCAGAGGCTTGGTCACAAATGGGATTGCAGTGGGTGGTCCCATCCCTGACTAAGGGGCCACCTTAGCCCTGAGCTCATGCTGAATAAGGAATATTCAGGAGGCTCCCTCAGGAAATGGTGATGGGAAGGGCCACCCTCCTACCTCCTGGTCACTGGGGCCTGGCTCCTGAGGTTCTGGGGAGGAGGACATCCTGGCATCTGGAGGTCAGTCTGATTCATTCCCAACCCCCCCCCAGCAACTTGTATAGAGCCTGGCATGCAGTAGGTGTTCAGCATGCATGTACAGAAGAGTCCCAGCATGACCTTGGTTAACTCCAACCCCTCCTTTACCTAGCCCTTTAGTGATATCATAACACCCGTTATTAACAGAGCCTTGACACCATGCCAGGCACTGCGATCAGCACTTTTTGTGCATCATCTCATTTCACCATCACAATAGCCTTCTGAAGAAGGTACTGCCATTAGCTCCATTTTACAGATTATAAAACTGAGACTTTAGGGAAGCAAAGTGACCTGCCAAAAACTCCATGGTGAATTATTGGAGAAGATGGCTCTCCTGCTGGGGACTTTCTGGCCTCATAGTCTGTACTTTAAACTAGGAACTACTCAAAGGGGGATCAGTGGACCAGCTTCATCAGCGTCACCTGGTAGCCTGTTAGAATGCAGCATCTTTGGCCCTGCTCCAGATCTGCTGAATCAGAATCTCTGGGGTGGGACCCAGCATTCTGGGCTTGAACCAGTAATGTATACTCAAGTTTGACTAGTGCCAGTGTAGAACACTAAGCAGTACCGCCTGTTCAACAACCCTCAGCAATCCTGAGAGGGGGTTGCAATTAGAAGAAATAGCTATTATTGTTATTATTATCCCATTTTCCAGATGATGGAACTGAGCCTAGACCAAGAATCAAACCAAAGAGCCTGGTTCCAAGGCCATTTCTCTTTAAGGAATCTGTTCCTCCATCTGGAAAATGAGTGAATGGAACAAAAGGATCTTCCAGGGAGAAGAGAAGTTGAAGGGTCAGGCAATGGGTGACCCTTAGGTTCCAGCAGGACCGGCTGCTGGGACCTGGCCATGGTGCTGAAGTCGTACCCCACAGAAAGGACAGCCCAGGGTGAGAGACTGCGCTCCCAGAGGCCCCTGGTCTTGCAGGCTCAGTGCTTGGACCTCACCCCCAGGAAGCGGGAACCCCGATAACTCAACACCAGGCTGCATTCCCAACCGCCTTCTAGCTCCCCTGAGTCTGAGATGGGACCGTGTGGCCGTCTGTGCCTTTAAGAGCAAAAAGCACAGACCTTACGGGCCAGCTGAGCTGGTGAGGAGATGGGTTAACTCCTTCCTTCTCAGCTCAAGATTAGGGGTGGGGTGGGGGGAGGGCTAGGGTCAGACCCTTCAAGCCCCAGTCAGAAGGCCCCCAGCCGGGCAGAAGGGCAGAGGAGCTTTGACCCGCAGGCCTGTGGCATGGGGACAGCAGCGCGGGGGTTGGGGGGACGGGGGGAGGGCCTGCGATGGGACTACTGGGGCCGGAGGCTGGACCCCAGGAAGCGCCCCTCCCCCCTCCCCGCAGCAGCAGCCCCCTCCAACAGGCCGCCTTCCCAGCAGTGCCCATTCCCTTCCCCTTGCCTTTGTCTCTCTTCTCAGCTCTTCAACAGACCGGGTCTTTCTGGGAGGGAGAGAGGCAGAATGGATGTTCCTAGAATTAGGGACGGTGCTCCTGGGGCCCAAGACAGGGCCAGTCACCTCCCGGGAGGGCGGCCCAGCTTCCCCCATCCTCCGGGCCCCGAGGCCCCTGATTCTACCCTCCAGTCTCTCACCAGGTTTTCAGACCCCTTAAGCCCTCCCGGAGGGATCCCCTCCCCCAAGCCTCCTGGTGCATCGGTCGGGTTTCCCTGCTCCCTCCGGCGGGCTCTACCTTCTGCGAGCTGAAGGACTGGGTCCAGTGGTACAGAACCAGGCTCTCCTTGGGCCAATGGGCGTGGCTGGCCGCTTCGGGTGCTTCGGGGGCCTCCACCGGCTTGGCCGCATCGCTCTCCAGCGCTGAGATGGGCCACCAGCTGCAGTTGGTGGGGGTCAGGTTATTGGGGGTCGCCATGACAGCCCGAAATCAGAGGGAAGAAAGAAGGAGGCTCCGGCGGTGGCGGCTCTCTCTCGCCCAGCATCACATGGCCTCGCCGAGCCTGCCCCTCTCCTTCGCTCCCTCCCTCCCTTCCCCGTGAATGTCATTACTCACTGGGTGAGTGGGGGAGGGGCGAGGGGGATCCCGGGAGCTCCTTTCCTCCTCCTCCCCTTGGCCCACCCCTGGCCCGTGCAAGAAAAGCCACCAGTCCAAGGTCAGGCTCGGTGGAAGGGCACCAGGAGCCATAGGGAAGTGGGCCCTGCCCCCAGATAGCTCGAATCTGGCCAGCCACCTGCCGAAGATTCCACCATTATAAACGCATTCTGCCTCTCAAATCTTCTAAAAGGCAAATAGGACAACTGGTGTTATAGAAATACATTCCTTTTATAAATCAGTGTCTGGAAATAGCTCATCTCTCTTTGAAGCTGTTATTTTCTAACTTTTCTCCAGAAGGACCTCTAAGGGCAGAAGGGAACACATTATGATTATTGAACAAATACTTACATAGCACTCCTGTGTGTCCAGGCACCATCAATTCATTTAACCCTCACAATAATCCTATTAGCCTCACTTTACAGAGGAGGAAACTGAGGCACGGAGAGGCTAAGTGACCTTACCCAAGGTCATCTAGCTAGTAAGTGGTGGAGCTGAGATTCGAATCCAGGCTGACCAGCTCCAGAGTCTCTGTTTTTAGCCATAAGGTCATAACATGACAATAATGTAAATGACAGCACAGCAAGCATTTATCAACCCAAGCACTCTACATTCATCACCTCATTTCATCTGCACAGTAATCATTTCTTCCAGATAAGGGAGGTGAGGCTCAGCGATGTCAAGTCATTCATTGGTCCAAGGTCACACTTTCACCCCAGGAGACTGAGGCATGACTACAGGAGCCCCGTAATGCCTTTGCTGTCACATAGTTTATCCTAAACATTCATGGGAACTTTACATAAAATTCCTTAATGTATCCTTGCTTACCTTGCTATAATGTTTTATTTATCACTGGGCATCTAGACGCACCAGGAAAATAAGCTTCTCAGTTTGCCCTCCATTGGCAACTTTGATCTTGGATTTTCAGCTTCCAGAACTGTGAGAAAATACATTTCTCTTGTTTAAGCCACCCAATTTCCGGTATTTTGTTATGGCAGCCAGAGCAGATTAATATACCTACAATAGAAGCACATTATTTGTATCTTTTCAAAAGAATTCAAGTTGGGGCTTCCCTAGTGGCGCAGTAGTTAAGAATCCACCTCCCAATGCAGGGGACACGGGTTCGAGCCCTGGTCTAGGAAGATCCCACATGCTGCGGAGCGACTAAGCTCGTGCACCACAACTACTGAACCTGCACTCTAGAGCCCGCCAGCCACAACTACTGAGCCCGCGTGCCACAACTACTGAAACCCGCGTGCCACAACTACTGAAGCCTGCGTGCTACAACTACTGAAGACCGCGGGCCTAGAGCCCGTGCTCTGCGACAAGAGAAGCCAATGCAATGAGAAGCCCGCGCACTGCAACAGAGCAGCCCCCGTTTGCCGCAACTAGAGAAAGCCTGCGCACAGCAACAAAGACCCAACGCAGCCAAAAATAAATTAAAAAAAAAAAAAAAAGAATTCAAAGTTGATTAAAAAAAGAGATACTACTGGATTTCCCCTTACTACTGGGGGTAAAGCTGGTCTTGGTCCCCACACTACAGGAAAAGAGGGAGGAATTAACATGGTCATCTCAGTGTCCTTTAGCCAGGTCCTTTACAGAAATCCCACAAGAAGAGTATTAATGTCCACACGTGACAGATGGGAAAACAGGCTCGGCAAACAAAAAATGTCTCACCTCGTATCACCACCTAGGAATCAGCAGAGCTGGAGCTGGGATCCGCATCTACCTGATACCCAGATACACCTGAGGTTTTGTTGCTGTTTTTTTCTTAAAGATTTTTTTTTTTTTTTTGGATTTGGACCACTTTTAAAGTCTTTATTGAATTTGTGACCATATTGCTTCTGTTTTGTGTTTTGGTTTTTTGGCCACAAGGCATGTGGGATCCTACCTTCCCGACCAGGGATCGAACCCACACCCCCTGCATTGGAAGGTGAAGTCCTAACCCCTGGGCCGCCAGGGAAGTCCCAGCACCTGAGTTCTTTTCTCTTCCTCCTGCTACCTCCATAGAACAGATGCTGAAATGGTCACAGGGTGGGATGGGGCTGGATGACATCCTTCAGCCAGTAAGGATCACTCAGGAGATTTTGCTTCCAAATTCTGGGCAGGATGAATGGTTCTCCTGGGAATTAAAAGTCACCTGAAGGAATTCACTGTGAAAAATCCTAACAGCGAATGCATCTAACTTCTACATCTATTACCTTAGGGCCCGCTGACTCAGGAAGCCACAGAGATCAGAGACATGCCATAAATGCCGTAAATATGAGGCTGGCCAGGTATGATCCCACAGGGTGTGGTGGGGATTGTGGCGACTCATAGACCCCAAGTTGGTCTTGTAACAAACATACTTGTGAGCCAGAGCTAAGCCCTCGTGTAGTTTGTTTGCAGCCTCTGCTTTTGATAACTTAGTTTTTGCCACAATCCTCGAGGCAGTGTGTTAGTTAATATAGCACTAGCTACTGTAACAGCTAAACTGCCAAATCCCAGTGACTTTCTTTACCCAGTTGAAGTTTATTTTTTCACTCACATTAAGTCCAATTAGCAGCCAGTGGGGGGAGGGGCAGGGGGTTCTGTCAACCTGCCTTTGTGGCTTCCAAGATCACCCAGGCATTGATATCCAATGGGCATTGATCTTTATGGGCAGATAGTAAAGAGAGAGCAGAACACCAGGTGAGCACTCCTCACTCTGCTCACATTCCATTGGACAGAACCCTGTGGCTGCCCCACTTAAATGCAAAGCAGAGCTGGGTTTGTGAGTCCCTGGCCTGTAGCAGCCACTTTTCAACAACTGTCCTATGGACGGGTAAACAGATCTTATCCATCCCTGCCTCAGGCAGTTATTATCATCTCTGGTTTATCAATGGAGATACAAACCTCAGAGAGGCTAAGTGACCTGTGAGAAGTCACACAGCCAGGAGCACTGTCTTTCTGACTCCAGCCCAAGGATCTTTTTTCTACCTTAATGTTCCCCAAACTTGCCATCTCATGAGCATCTCTTGTTAAACATACAGGTTCCTGGGCCTCACCCCAGACCTTGAACTGAATGTTCGGGAGAGAGTGTGGTAACTTGTACTTCCACTGAGAATCCCAAGATGATTTTTATATCAGTCTCTACCCTAGGGGCTGCTCCCTGGGGAACTTTGTGAAACGCTAATTAATCACTTGGCTTCAGCCCCTAGAAATTCTCAATCAATTGGTCTGTGGGGAGGGGCCCTGATATCGACATGTTGTAAAGCTCTCAGGTGACTCTGATGTGCAGCCAGGACTCAGAAACACTGCCTCCGGTCCCCAAGCAAACCGGGCTGGTCATCAGAGTCACCTTCGGGAGACTTTCAAACTAAAGCAGCAAGAGAGAGAGGGAGGGAGGGAGGGAAGGAGGAAGGGAGGCTATCACGTGATTCTTGACCCTGGGAATCGGCTTTTAAATAAACTGTTCAAATGATTCTAACATGCAGTCCAGGTTGAGAACTGCTGAATAAATGGACCAGAAGATTCTGAATCAGTAGGTTTGGGGGAAGCCAAACTTTCCATTTATTTATTTATTTATTTATTTATTTATTTATTTATTTATTTATTTATTTATTTTTGCGGTACGCGGGCCTCTCACTGTTTTGGCCTCTCCCGTTGCGGAGCACAGGCTCCCAAAGCGCAGGCTCAGAGGCCATGGCTCACGGGCCTAGCCACTCCGCGGCATGTGGGATCCTCCCGGACCGGGGCACGAACCAGTGTCCCCTGCATCGGCAGGTGGACTCTCAACCACTGCACCACCAGGGAAGCCCCAAACTTTCCATATTTTTAAAGTTCTTCCAGGAGACTGTGATTCCACTGCCCTAGGGCTTTGCTACTCAAAGTCTGGTCTAAAGTATCAGCACATCACTGGGAAATTGTAAGACATGCAGAATCTCAGGCCCAACCCTAGACCTGCTAAATCGAAATCCACAATTAACAAGACCCCCAGGAGATCAACACACACGAGTGGGAAAAGCACTGCTCTCAGGCACACGGGCTCTTTTGCAGGGAGGACAGCAGTTTATATCCTCCAGTCAGGGCTGACTCAGCTTCTCTCCATCCCCACTCATCCCCTCTTGAGGCTGCAGAACCTTTTCTAGTGTCACCAGCATAGTCTGTCCTCAAAGGTCTTGGGCCTTGCTGCCCCCATGCCGTGGCCATCTGTTCACGGATACTTTGTTGGAAGGTCTGGGCATGCTCACAGGTCAATGACTCAACAGGGAGCTGGCAGGCCCTTCCTGCCAGGGCAGGACATCACAGATGCTGGGCATTGACTTGAGGACCAGACCGTGGGATTGGTTGCTTCACCTGAAGATCTCTTCTTCAGGTGGGAAGCACCTGGCACAGGGTCTGGCATGTAACAGCATCTGCCCGGTAAATATTTGTTGACCTAAATGTAAATGGCTGAAAATGAGCACTAATCCTTTGTCTATGAATGGTAATTTTTGTGCACTCCTTTTGTGCCCTTTAAAGCATTTTTGTCAGGTGTTCAGATTGTGTTTTTCTTCTTGTTTTCTCATTAAGTTCTAATTCTTTTTCATCTGGCTTCTCTCTGCACGGCATTCTTTGTAATGGTAAAATAACGGAAATATCCTAAATGGCTCATGAGAGGGGGTTTGTTAAATCATTCAGGGGCTCTCTTCCCCCAAAGCCCATCCACCAATACATGTTAAGAACCTCTTTTCTGGAAGGATCCCAACAAGACACCAACAAGCATGGTCTCTGGATCGGTGGAATTCTGGGTGTTCTCTATGAATTCTCTATGAACTACTTTTCGCTTGGCTGTATCTTCTTTTTTTTTTTTTTTTTCCTGTTCTGAGTACCTATTACTTTTGAATAAGAAAAACTAACCAACAGGAACTGGACTGGTTCTAAACTTCATTTAAAATCTC